ATTATATAGTGAATTATAAAGTTGAAATAAAAAAAGGAGAATTGAAATGCTATTTGAATATTAGCAATTTAAATATATGTTAATAAATATTATTTAAATAATCTGTGTATTTGGACACAATATTAATCCGTATAATGACTAATAGTTTTCAAGCTTTAATTATCCAAATAATTTATTTTTGGATGAGATTGAAATACATATTCCACCTTCTTTATAATTCTATATATGTAATAATTTATTTTTTATTTTTACTTTATCCAAATTTTAAAACAACTATTAAGAACTAACAATTATTATTTTATTTTATAATTTTTTAATAATACTCAAAATTCAAGTTAATCATTAATGACTATTAACCATAAACACTTAATTCTTATTAAAAATATATTTTAATATTAACTAATTACTTTATAAGCCATTTTTAAAATTATATTAAATATATTGATTATTAAACAAATTTATGTAATTCTTTTTCTTAAACTAAAATTAGTAACATATATGATTTAAATAAAAAAAAAAGAAAATAGTAAATCTCAGCTTCCAAACCATGTTTTCTGAAAGAATAAAGACAACATAACATATTGACATTTATTTAACTTATCTAATAAGAATAAAATAGTCTTATAAAAATGAATTTTTGTAATTAAAAAGAAAAAGTAAAAAGTAAAAAATATAGTGTCAAATCAACATAAAAAAACTATACGTTTAAAAGTATCCTTTTTCTTTTCGAAAAAGAAAATAGAATAAAATGAAATTAATTTTACTGTGGGAGTGAAAGAAGAAAGCATGGAAGCCGTGCAGCTGGTGGCATTGCGGCTGCGCGCGGTTCCGGTGGCGGCATACCTCTTTCGAAACGCCGTCGTAATGGGCGGCGTCTTCCGCAGCAGCAACAGCACCACCAGCACGAGCATGAGCGGAATGGCAGGGAAGAGGATGAGCTCTGGTTCGGGATGGTTGATGGGCGGAGCATTGAAGTTACCGAAAATTGTGAAAGCCGGAGAGCCGGTTCTGCACGAGCGAGCCAAAGAAGTTGATCCGTCGGAGATGAAATCGGAGAGAGTGCAGAAGATCATCGGCGACATGATCCGCGTCATGCGAAAGGCACCTGGAGTTGGCCTCGCCGCTCCACAGATTGGAATTCCCCTAAGGGTTTCTATCTTATCTGATGTGCATTATCATATTCTGGATTAATAGTACTTACCTACGCAATCGTATAAAAATATATGATTTCTATTATGCGTTTGTGTGTAGATAATTGTTTTGGAAGATAAAGAAGAGTATATGGGTTATGACGACGAGGAATCCCTCAAAGAACAAGATAGAAGACCTTTTCATCTTTTGGTATGTCTATGTATGTCTCCATTGCCAATGTTATTCAATGCAAACAGGAGAGAACTATTCGATTCGATTTCACACTTTTTCCCTTCTCGTCGTAATAGCCATATTCATTCTGCTGTCTTGATTTGAGGTAGGTGATATTGAATCCTAAGCTCAAGAAGAAGACCAACAGGACTGCACTCTTTTTTGAAGGATGTTTGAGGTGTCGTTAACAACTCTTTCACCTTTTATTTTCCTCTCATCATACCTTACTTGCTTTTCTAGAAGTTTCAATCATTCAGTGGCATATGCGTTTGTGTTTCTACTTTTAGGAATTCTGCATTGAGAAATGCTGGTTACATACTTTGTTATACTCCTGTTTGAATTCACTCTTTGTTATTGATTGAAAATTTATTTCCAATTACTAAATTTTTGAAATTCTTACTTCATATGTAAATGAGTGTCAATCATGATTTTATATTTTCTCAACAAACTTTAATCAATGACAGAGAGCCTGCTGCATATCTTAACTGAATATTTAAGTTGTCTGTCTAGACTCTTGACGCAGTCGGCCATTTCTTGAGTTATGGCTTGAAATTTCACGAGACCAGCATCCTGCCTTTAATTTTCTCAATTACTTTAGCATGACAGAGAAGACATTTTGGAACAATTAAAAAGATGCACTTGTTAAAGCGACTACTAGTATGATATCATATTATCTGAACTTTTTCTACACATATATCATATGTATATATTTTAAAAATGGTTCAGAGCTAATGTGATTGGAGTTTTTATTCCAGCTAAGGGTTAAAATATAGCAAATTTCTTATTTGCTTTCGTAACGATGAGTCTTCAGTTGGCATGTTACCAATTCATAAAAGCTTTGCTATGTTTATAAATTAGCTATACGATGGTTGCTGAGATGAATTCTAAATATTGAGATCACGAGAAGCTGTGATCCCCATATTCTGATGTAGCTTGAGCTTAAGTTTCCACCTTATATGTCTTAATTTTAACATCTGGTGTGAACAGTATCTGTATCCGTATGTTCTTTTCCTTTTTTTTTTGAATGTGACTTCCTATGTTCAATACAATTTGTGGATGTCTAAAGGCGGTTCCACAAGGCCATGTGCAACAGAACAGTGGGGTCTCTTAACATTATCCCGCTCTCTTGTAAATATGCCACGTTTTCAGTGAGATTGTCCTCCAATCTGATTGGATCCAACTGAATTTGTTGATAAATTATTGTTGAGGTAACAGCTAGTCAATGTTGTTGCCATAATTCAAAATATAATAATTCTGGATCGCTTTATATTTGTGTTTTATGTGATAACTAGTCAAGCACGTATGTCAGCGGGTACCTTTGACATCTTCATCTGTAACGACATTTTGCAGTGTTGCTGGGTACGCTGTGGTAGAGCGATACCTTGATGTTGAGGTTGAAGGTTTTGATCGTTACGGGGAACCCGTAAAAATAAATGCTACTGGTTGGCAGGCTCGGATTTTACAGCATGAGTGTGATCACTTGGATGGAACACTGTATGTTGATAAGATGGTACCTAGAACATTCAGAGCTCCAGAAAACAGTTCTAAGCCTCTTGCCCGTGGGTGCCCAAAACTTGGTCCTCGCTGACCCAGTTGCGTGTTAGAGCTTGAAGTTGAATCATCAACACATCAGTGAAAAAAAGTTGTCACTTATAGATCTTAGCATGTAGTCCAGATGCGCACTAAGTTAGAAATATTTAGAGTTTGGGAGTAACTAAGTTTCACTCACTTTTCAGTGTTATCATGTTGCAATAATTATAATTGAATTCTGCCTTTCTGTTTGATCAGTTCACTTCATACAAGTTTCAATACTCTTGATATTGATCATGCATAGCTTTTTTTACACTGTATACAACGGATCTTCTGGGTATGTACCATAAACACGCTAGGAGTTTTTGTCTTTTTTTTTTNCAGAAAACAGTTCTAAGCCTCTTGCCCGTGGGTGCCCAAAACTTGGTCCTCGCTGACCCAGTTGCGTGTTAGAGCTTGAAGTTGAATCATCAACACATCAGTGAAAAAAAGTTGTCACTTATAGATCTTAGCATGTAGTCCAGATGCGCACTAAGTTAGAAATATTTAGAGTTTGGGAGTAACTAAGTTTCACTCACTTTTCAGTGTTATCATGTTGCAATAATTATAATTGAATTCTGCCTTTCTGTTTGATCAGTTCACTTCATACAAGTTTCAATACTCTTGATATTGATCATGCATAGCTTTTTTTACACTGTATACAACGGATCTTCTGGGTATGTACCATAAACACGCTAGGAGTTTTTGTCTTTTTTTTTTTCTTTTGAGATATAGAGTGTGTTTATTAATAGGCTATTCTAGTGGTCTCCCTTTACCATTTATGTGCTGCTGAAGAAGTCATCTTCTGCCTTATGAAAATGGTAAAAAAGTTAATGTCAATTAACAAGCTTATGGAGTTTAACATTTTTCTTTTTATGTGTTTGCTTTTGCCTTATCAGTGAGCATAATTTTGATGCTCAGAGATTACACGAAACTTTTAAAACGTTTGATTGGAATTTGACAAAAAATACCAGAGAATCATGATTTGGATATGTCTTCCCCCTATAGAAAATGGTTTCAAAATAGTTAAACTAAATCATTTTGTTCAATAATATAATATTTTTGGCTATGCTTATTCTATTATTTTTAAATTATGAACCAGTTTTAAAATGTGAATATTGAGTTGGAAATATGTAAAGTGTCATGTGATATGCTTGCTACTAATGATAATTCACTGATTTTATGATGTCTTTCAAAAATCTGAACATATCTACCTTCGTCTGAACATAAATCTGGACTTCAAAACCTTCAAAATGGATCACAAGTATCTACCTTCCCCTTAAACAATAGAGTACAAAATAATTTCCGAGGAACTCGCGTACTCATTTTATTGTACAAAGAAATACCTTTAATCTATATACTTTCAATTCAAACGGAATGAATAGTATGGTTTGACTCTACGAAGATATTTTGTCTAATGAAATCATCACTGATTGAGAAACAAGTAGGAGGATACAAGAAACCCCGAGCAGAACCGTGAGCTTGCCAGCAGAAAGAGTTAGTATTTCCTCCGAAGCATGATACAAGAAAAATATTTTCAAGATATAGATCTTCACATGGAGAAATGTCACTGCAAGCAAATTTAATTGCTTCATCAGAGGCTGAAGTTCCTTGAACATCAATGAAGGATATATTCTCCACTCTGACAGCCGAAGTCTGTAATTTGATACATGAAATTACATTCTTGCAGCATATTTGAGCTTCAGTATAAGTTACTACAAATTTGAACTTTTCTATCAATTCTAGAAGCTAAGTCCCTCGGTTGTTTGGAATAAATTTTGAAAGAAAAATCAAGGGTTACTGCAAAGTATATTCTCCAAATAATAATTTTTCTTTATGAAGACTGTTTCTCAAAAATTTGCCCCATACAACTATAATGCATATTTCCACATAAAGGCAAGTTTATAGAATGTGCTTGCAAAAACATCAAAAAATTCCATACCTGGTTTTCACATGGATGTTGCGAATCACAGTAGTATTGATCTATTATTATTGGATTAGACACATTTTCCATCAATATATTCTGGAAGGTGATCTTGGAGGCCAGACCACTACCACCCTGACGAAAATTTGACAGAAGACAAGTTTTGACGAAAATGTGTACATTGCAGGGTGGCTATAAAAAGAAAGTGCTACAGTTGTCAAGAAACTCACCTGCCATGTTTTGATCCTCAACCCATTATCTGTGTTGTAAAGGTAAGCTCCCTCCACAATTACATTTTGCACACTCTCCCATGTCTTTAATTTTCCCAAGCTACCGATGCTGAAAAAATAGGCTCCAGGATCAGTTAAATCAATTATACCACTTAATGTTTTGAGAATTGAAAAATGAAAGTTGCTTTCACCTTATCCCATGGCCAGGACCACAATAGATGTTTCTGATCCAGACCCGAGAAGAATTTCTAACTATTGAAATGCAATCATCACCTGAAATTGAAAATAATGAACATAATTATTTTGCTTTTGGTATATCGTTTGACCACCAAAGTTTATTCTGGAACATAATGTAAGTGATGAAAGTAATCATTGCACTTAGACTTAGCTTTCGTCCAAATTCTGCAACATGCATAGTTTTTCACAATTACATTTTGCCTGTTATTTTTCATGTTTTGCATATTTTTTTCTTCTGGTTTTTCTTGTCTCTTAACGACAAATCAAACTTGGTACGATGTTAATGAAAGGCTATACATCCTGAAAGTAACAAGTAAGAATTGACATGCAAACCATTAACTTCAGAAAGCTTTTAGCACCAACGAAGAAAAAAAATCCAGACACCTTCACAATCCATGACAACAAAAAGCTAATCAGATATTTACTTTATTCTTTCATTTCTTTGTTACCATACGGTTTCAAAACCATTTAAACTGGTGTCATTCTGCTTAACTTGATTTTTATTAACATGAGATATATATGTGTGTTCTGTAATATGGCTAATTATTTAATAATTATATGACAATCGCTATTTGAAGGTAAATAACATATATAAATTACCGTTTAAACCATAATATCATTCAAGCCTAAAATGACAGTTTGTAGAAAATAACTTTACAGCAGTACCTGTTCTAATTACACTATCCCTGACCTGAACTCCCTTTGATGCACTAATATGGATTCCATCAGTATTAGGGCTGAAAGCAGGTGCTAATACTTTGAGATGGGATGCAACAACCCGCATACAGTTAGTGAATGACAAGTGCATTCGTTGGCTATTTATCAGCATGAGATTTCTAACTTTTAGATCCTTGCATCTATGAAAAGTCAGAGCCTGCAGTGTCAATGTTGTTTCATATTCAGCTAATAAGACACATCGGAAATATCAGATGAGGGAAAACGATCTGGTTTGCTCCATATATTTGAAGCGGCACTAACCGTTGGAGCAGGATGACATGGCTGCGAAAGGACATTTTGAAGCCACTTTAGTAACACAGTTGATTAAACTTGAAGAAAATATTAATTTAAGCTTTCCAGGAAGCAATACATTTGTGGAGTTGATCTTGCAAGATCTGGCCCACCATTCCTCTCCCATTCCATTGACACTCCCTCCACCATCAACAGTGAGGTGATTCACCCCATGGAAGTAAAGCCATTTGCGCTGATTTAAACCAAGCCACACAGCAGGATCTTGGGGTGCAACTATAGTACCTGATATCTATAACAAATTTGAAAATCAATTGAGTGCATATTTTCTGTAAAGAACCTCATGACAAGAATTTTCTTCAACATGTGAGAGATTTGACTCTGTGAGCTTACCGTCAAAATAATCTTAGATCGACAAGGTCCACCAATGTCCACTTGATAGATAAGAAAAGTTTCCCCAGATGGAAAAACAAGATTTATAAATCCAGCGAGAGAACATGCGATTCCCCAAGCTTCCAGGAAGGCCTAAAAAGATAAATAAATAGACAAAGTCATGGGGACATTCCTAATCCTACCCAGTCCTTTCAGACAAATTATCATACATTTCATGGGCTGTTATGAAATCTACGATAAACAGTTTCAAGCAAAAGAATCATCTAAATAAACATTATTAAGCAAATCGGTCATTGTGAAGTTACACAAATAGAAGGAAGCAATTACCTCAGTGTCATTGTGAAGACCATCCCCTTTTGCACCATAATCACCGACATAAAGAACCCATTTCGATCTAGTTCGTGTTCTTCTCCACCTGGAACGTGGGTGCTGGATCACAGAATCAAACCCTTCTGCACGAGTGAGATATGGAGTGACAAGTACATTTACATGAATGAAGATAATCACAAATGCCCAACTGAAACAATATCTGAGGTTCTTCATTTTCTTTCAGATTCCGACCATCCACAGGTTTCGTGACAGAATCTTAGGTTGCTGGTTCAGCAGGAACAACTACTAAAAGAGTATCACGTGACAGAAACACCATTTGAATACATTGCACATTACTACTACAACGTCAGTGGCGATGTTTCTATTCTATTCATCAAACCATAACCGAACCTAATTGCTTTTTACATCTGCATGCAATTCAATTTTTCTCAATAAATGTCACATTCATGGCGCAAAATTAAACTATTTTAGCATAGAATTTATCTCTTGTTAATCTAATACTTTCAAGACCCTAAATTTCCTTTTCTCGTACCCTTCTTTCCTTACTACAAGAACTGCATCCGAATGATAAAGAATTTCGTGCTATGTCGTTTTTTTCACTCTTTCTCTTGTTTTTTCTTGCTCTGCCCAGGTTGCTAAATTAGTAAATTTTTTTAATCAAATCTTTTTCATGGCCATTATTATTACAAAAAAAATGGTAGAAATTTGAAAGGTTTTTTTTTTACTGAAAGAGATCTCGAACAAACAGTCATAAATACAAATTAAAAAATAAAAAACAAACCTTTTGAAATATGAAGAACACTCAGAAAGTCTGGATGAAATAGAAATTCCAATCCAATTTCCATTCTTCATCAGCTTCTCATTTTACTTTCCTCACAATTTTAGAATTTTGCAAAGCGATGATTCCACTAAATCCCAAACATGTCGGTGTTTTCCTTTTTACTCTTGTTGGATTTGTCTTTGTCATCTGATATATACCAGACTTAAGAACAGACTGTGGTTTGGACTTTTTCGTGAAAATATCATATCTGAGAAATTATATAAGTTTCTAAGATGCATGTAATTTTTTCTTTATGTTGAAATAATAATGCCAAGGGTTAATTTTTCCCATGGTTCCTTATTGTTAGTGATTGAGGTTTGTTGGTTTGTAGAGGCCTTCCCCCAATATAAGTTTTTTTTCTTTAAAAAAATAGTTTTCTGAGAGATAAAATTAAAATAATTATTGAATTTGTAAATATGAAAAAAAATGATAATTTATCATGATTTTTTTACTTGTTCACTTTAGTTTCAAATTCAACTTCACCATTTTATTGTATATTTTCTTAACTATTCAGATTTGAAAATTTTATCACTTATATTTCAATTATATCAATTTCTTTTGTTAAAAATAGAAAATACAATTTACTTTATTAGATTTTTTTTAATGATTTGTCAAAAAGATTGAACAATAAAATGAAAAATAAATTTCTTGCACACAATATAATTATTTATATTAAAAAAGAAATTTTATATTTGATTTAATTATTGACTAACTCAATAATTTGAAAATTTAGTATGTGATTTCTTTTATACCAATAATTATACTAAATTACATATTATTATTTTTATATTAGTGATCATAATAGGATATATAAATTTTGAGTATATTATTTTGATTCTTTTAAAATTAATGGTCAAAATTTTGTATTTTGTTTAGCTCAGTATACATTCATCTTTCAACTTTTTGAGACGTATGTTGAAAAGTGTAACTTTATGTTATGTCAAATAAACTTTGAATTAAATCATATTTAGTTACTCTCTTTTGTAGCCATTAATAATTATTAAGTTTTTTTTAGACTTAATTAGTAATTTTGTTTATAGGCATACATTGTTATTATGTTTGGGCTGATCCGTCAAATAAAATGGACCACTAGCAGTAGGCTATCCCATAAAGGACAGACTAACGGGTCGGGCCAAGTTAGCCTGTCATTTTTTTTTAATTTATTTTCAATTTTTTAAATTTTTTATTTTTAAAATTTGTTTATATATTCATATAAATGAATATTAAAATTATATTTAATCATAAAAAATATTTTCTAAATTTCAATTGATTAGTTATTGTTTTTAATTAGGCAAATATAAATAATTATTACATGTATAATTTAAATTATTTTATCATAACTAATAATTAGACTTTAATTTGTAAACGTGATTTAAATTATAATAGTATTATATATTTACATATTTAAAATATATAATATAGAAAAGTTAATTTTTTAAATTATTTTTTATTTGAGCTTTTAATTTAAAAAAAATAATTCAAAACGTAGTAAAATTTCAACCCACATATCTCATTTTGGACAGGCTAACGGGCCAATTTCTTATGACCAACCCGTTTTGTCAACACCTTCCATAGATGTAGAAGCTTGAGTGTTGTTTGGAATGTGTCCCAATAGATACCAAAATCTAATGCATAGATAATAAATGAGTGTCTAGCTCATACTTTCGGCCTTCTTCACTTAAGTGGATTTGAGAGAGAGTAATGGAGGGGATTTGAAAATAAATATTTTTGTTGATTATTTGAATGAATTTGAAGGTAAGTGAGAATGAATTTGAAAGTAAAGTTTCTGAAAATTAATGTAGGATTTGATTTTAGTGGACAGCTCTTCACGCATAATACGCCAAAAAAAGGATACAATAAAATAAACTTACATTTTTATGTTATTAAATGAGATTTAATTAAATAAAATTTAAAAATTAAAATTAAAACTCTCTAAAAATAATCAGAACACGCAATTATTTAACTCAAATAAGTCAAACCAAACCCACGCATTATTTTAACCTCATTCTAAATGACACCCCATTTCATAAATTGCAGAAAGATTATGCTATTAAAAAATCAATTATTGTATTTATAAGGATAGGTAGAATTAATTTAAAGGAAAAATGAGTAACACAGAATTCAATTCCCTCCATTAAAATTCTTACCAAACTTTATATAACTATTTCTGAAGTTATTTAGTATATAAAACAACATTTTAGATTAAAATAAAAACAAAAATTCCTCGTACGATTTCTCAATCAGATATCATTACTTCACTGGGAAAAAAAACAGAGCAGACAACAACCGCTTAAAAGTTAAAATACTTTAATGAATTGTCAATCTATGATTAACATTAGTTTTGTTTCAAAATATTTAGTAGTTTTATGTTATTTTTGAGATGACGAAAATTCGAATATATAATATTTTTTTCTAATTCTCTGAAAGATAATTGAAGAACAAAATTGTAACATGAGCAGATTTTGAAACTGATAATATTTCATATATTTCTGTGAAAACAAAAAAGAATGCATTAAACCCATATTAAATTCATATATTTATCGTATTCATTTCTTCATTTTCTCATAACATTATCCGCGGAAGACAATTTCAATGGTAAAAAAACAAAACAATAATAAATTTGAAGAAAATTATAGATTGAAATTCAGAGAGGAGAAGTAACAGAAAAGTGATGAGTCGTGATTATGTTCTTAATTTAAGATCAATTCAACTCAACCGGCCCTACCCTACAAACCTAAAAGTAAAAACATTACATCACATAAGAAACCTGGCCGGAATATTCTCTCTGTCGCCTGAAACCACCGTCGTCTACCTCGGCCGATGCTTGGCGGGTTTAGTCCGCGGTGGCTTGTTGTGGTCCCGTGGTGGTGCTTTTCCGAACGCCGCGCAGAAGCCGCATGCAGAGAGTCTGGGAGACGGGGGTTCGATCGCCGGCGAGACTTTTCCGGTGCGGTAGGCGCGAGTTCCGCCGTTGGAGCGGGTTCTCTGGAGGGGCGGCGGCTGTTGAAGTTGAAGGTCTTTAATCTGATCGGCGTCGATGTTGTTGGTTTGGTTTTGGTTGTTGAGTTTGTTGAATTCCTCTGATAAGAATCTATCGTCCCAAACAAAGCCAGAAGAACCCTGCCTTCTGAAGGAGACTGCAGATCTTTGAAGACCAGCCATGGCAGTGAGGTAAGCAATTCTGGTCTACTTCAGAGCAATACTCACATCAATTTCTCTTTAACTGTTGTTCTGTTTTTCTCTTGTTGTGTTCACTGTGTATCACTTTTTCTTCTCTATAAGCATAATAAATAAATGAGAGAGAGAAGGCAGTTGGTGAAGGTGAAGAAAATGGTTAAAAGTGGTTACAGGAGTGTCCTATTAAGCCATATCCAACACAATGTCTTCTCTCCTCCCATTTTTTATTATTTCTTTATTATATTATTAAATGGATAACGATATTTTTACAATATTTTAATATCATTTACGTGTATTATTATATGATTGATCCATGTTGGTGTTTATAATTATTATTATTATTATACAATAATTTTAGACCAATCACGTGATGATACGTAGATAATGTTAAAATGTTATGAAAGTATCGTTATACTTATTTATTTAATATAGAGAGTATAGGTAGGTGAATTGGGTTTTTAATGAATTTTTGGTGTTGTTTTCTTCTTGTGTTTTTTTAAAATACAGAAAATGTAGAGATAACATAATAAGATTAATTATGGTATATGAAATATTATTTTCTATAATATTTCACTACATTATAAATGATAAATAATGGACGAGAATAATATATGAAGATTTTAAAGATCGTGCAAGTAAAGACCCTTAAAAAGCCGTAGAAACTAATTAATACAGGAAGTTGAATAATAAATGGTGGAGGCGAAAGCTTGAATGTATATTTGGATAAATTAATTAAAGAATTTTTAATTAATGGATATTTTTGGGTGGTGGTTGTGTAAATTAGAAATATAAAAAGAATAAAAATGATGGGCATTGTGACTTTGTGCGCAACTTGGCATGACACACGGGTTGTTAGGTCCAGCAAGTGAGTGAGTGTGTGTACACTAACTCCACCGGCCTGTCATTTCATAATCACTCAATAAATCAAACAAAAAAACGCAATTCGCACGTCCTTGTCTCTTAAAAAACATTTTAATGATGTTCGAAATTTAAACGGGAGTCTAAATTCTGTCTTGGATAAAAATAAAAAAGTAAAATAATATATAAAGTTGAAAGATCCATTAATCTATTGTTTTAAGGTTTTGGATAGAGAATAATGTCAATCTTTTATATGATTGAGTTCTAATGTCATTGGTATTTGTGTCTCTCCAGAAAAAATATTAACTTAAAAAAATTTGGAATTTATAGATAAAATAGAGAAAAAAAAAATATAATGCATCTTAAAATATTTATTAGATGTTATTACATTCATGGATAAAATAGAATAAATTATAAATATTTTGACATTATTTATATGAATTTTACAAAAAGAATAGAAATAACCACGATGAAAAATGGATAATAACGTAAAATGACCAATATATAACCCAAGAAACTGAGTTCGATAGAGATAGGTATTACATGACAATACAACATACATGCAAATACATTTAACATATTATCTTTATAACATCATTTATACTTTGACAACATTTTTTTGACATCATTTTAACATCATCTACGTGTCATTCTGTGACTGGTCCAAAATTACTCCACAATCAATAATAATAATCATAAACACCAACATGGACCAATCACAGAATGATACGTAGATGATGTTAAAATATTGTCAAAAAAATGTTTTCAAAATATCATTATCCTATCTTTACAAACAACAATGACAATGTAAGTTTGTTCTAGATATCGTTTAATATTGTACTTTTATTCACCCTAAATTAATAGTTACATTTCCAACAACATATCACAAGAGACTGAACAACCTCATTCACAACCCTTTCATCCTCATGTTGAGCTTTCTTCAAATGTTTAACAATTTCAACAATAATCTTTTGGTCTATCTACTATTATTCAATCAGCTAAAATGTTTGAATTCATGAACAATCATCACGTGTCTTCACAATATCCATACCAACAAGTTTTGTACACTTACACAAATTTTCCATTTCAGCCCAAACATACTAAAAAGAAGTTATCTCACAAAGTTTTTTTAAGAATTTGTAGAAGTTTTTTTTAAAATTAATTTGCAGAAATTCACAAATTTGTAAAAACTTTTAACGTTTTCATTAGATTTATATTGCAGAAGTTTTATGTGGAATTTTAACTTTTTTTTATTGATAACTATTATTTTATGAAAGTTTTTATTTTTAATTATTTTATTACAAAGATTACTTCTATTTTCCCATATTTATTTTAGTTCATATTCTATTCAATTTATCAATTCTACTATAAAGATTTTAATCTCTTTTATTTGTATTATTTAATTTGTTAATTTATCATGTTATTTTGCTTGTGTTATTTCTATATATAACAATATATGTCACGATTTGAATTATTTATATTTTTGTCTTAGCAATATTTATTTATAACAAAATTTAAATACTTTAATAAAGATAAAATTGTAACAAAATTTAAATGTTTAATAGATACATGAGACATTACAAACTTCTTTTACAAAACTGTTTAAATATTCATGACTCATTACAAGTTTCTAAGGTATAATTGCTATATGCTACCATACACATCAAAATGACCCGACCTAACCCGACTAGATCCAACCTAAACCGAACTAAATCGAACCAAACTTGACATAACCCAACCCTAGCCAAGTCGAACCGAACAAAACCGAGTCGAGTTGAGCGAAACTAAACCAAACCAAACCAAATCGAACAGAACCGAATCGAGCCAAATCAAACCAAACTAAGGCAAACCGAGCTAAGATGAACGGAGCCAAATCGAACCAATCCAAACTGAGTCAAACCAAACTAAATCGAATCGAACCGAGCTAAATTAAGTCGAACCAAATCTAACCAAATGAATCGAGCTAAATCGAACTAATCCATGCTAAGCTTAACCGAGTCAAACCAAACTGAATCGAATGAGCCGAGACATGTTGAGTCAAATCGAATCATACCGAACCAAACAAACTGAGACGAAATTGAAATAAAACAAAAATACAAAAATTAAATTGAGACTAATGCAATAACACTTGACCCTATGAGTATCACACCACACTATCATTTTCACGTTACCAAATATCAATTTAAGACGTGGCAATTTTTTTTAATTTAAAAAAATTCAATTGAGATTAAAAAAAGTAAAAAATCTATTTAAAAAAAGTCAAAAAATAATATGATTCATTTTGTAAATGCCCACCACCTCTACTCAAAGGATAAAAGAAATTAAGTTTCCATAGAAAACAAAGTTTTTATATATCAATTTATTAATGACTCAAAAAAACATAATTGAATTTACTAAATTAACATTCTCTATTAGAATAGAATTTGATCAGTATTTTAAAATTCATTATGAAGTCAATATAATACAAAATTAATGACTCAATAAATGACCAATAAGAATAGGTCTTAGACTAAATCTAAAACTATATTCAATGGTTTGTGTAACCATTTAATTATTAGGTTACAAATATCTCTATATCCCCACCCTAATCCACCTGTAATGTGTTTCTAAAAAATCATTTATTGAGTGCGCAATTTCAAGTTGCATTGATCTAGTAGGCAAAACTTGTGCGGCGTTAGCTGACAACATAGAAGAAAGTTTGGATTTAGTATTTTAAAGCAGGCAGATCATCACAGAACGGATCGGAAACGCTTAATAACACTCTTACTGTAGAGAATCATCTGCGCTGCGGGTAGTCTGCTGATGTGTCATGTTAAAAGATGGCCTTCCAATATTACACATTGCTACATTGCTGAAGCTCTAACAAAACTAGAAAATATCGAGGTGTCATCTTTCAGAAGAACCTGTGGGTTACCCTGTTCAGCCTGCGCGAACGAAAGGAAAGCTGAAGAAAATAAACATCTGACAAGTGAAAAGTTACAGAAAATAAAGAATACCAGTTTCCCATGGTCAAGAATCAGAATGTTGTCCATATTTAAAACAGTTGAAATCCGGTGAGCAATTGTGAGAACTGTCATTCCTTTGCATTCACCGGATATGGTAGTTTGCAGCAGTGAAGCAGTTTGAATGTCTACATTGGCTGTGCATTCATCCAAACAGAGAACCTAAAAGGGTAAAAGGAACCTCTCAATTACCTAATGATCACATTTGGAAGTGGTGTGTGATATTTTGTTGACATACCAATATCTAGAAGCTTTTGTTCTGTGTAATATCTATTGAATATTCCACATTGGTTACATTTATGTATAAATTGCAATATGTAAGTGGACCGACGACTTCTGCTTTACTTACCCGGAGTGAATCATGTAGTTGATTCTTACAACTAGCAAAACTTAATACGACAGACATAATACCATATTAAAAAATAAATTTTAAGTCTAATTCAATTTAAACCAGATTTTAAGATAAAATTTACATTCACTTATTTTTTATAATTTAGTTGTATTTTAGTCTATGCAAGATATCCAACAATATACAACAGACTATAATAAAGTTGTCTCTTAAGAAGATACTATCATCAATAAAAAAGACAAATTAAGACAAAAAAATCCTTAAATCATCATTCTTACCTTGGAAGATTTCAAAAGTGCACGGGCGAGGCAAAGAAGTTGCCGCTGGCCAACTGAAAATGACATGCCTCCTTCCTTTACAAGAAGGTCCAACCCTCCAGCTGCCTCTACTTCCTCTTTCACATGGCACTTTTCCAATGTATTCCAAATTTTTAAGTCATCATTCATTTTGAAAGGATCTAGGTTATCCCTACAATATTGAGAATACAGAGCATAAGTAGAGATGAAATGTAGGTGCAGTCAGAACAAATGCTAATGCAGTTTATTCTTAAAAAGAATGCAAGAACATTATCATTGAGAAGGAGCTAAATCGGAGTTTGCGTCAGAAGTATTAAGTAAAAAAAATCCAAATAAAGTACCTTAATGATCCTTCGAACAAAAATGGACTCTGAGGAACAATGGCCAAATGTGTACGTAGTTCTCTGACAGAAATATTTTTAATATCCACGCCATCAATTGAGATAGAGCCTGTACATATTGGAGTAAGACGGAAAAGAGCATTTAACACACTGGACTTTCCAGCGCCTGTTCTTCCAATTATTCCAACCTGAATACACGTCGTCTAATTAGTATTAAACATAATGGGTGTTAAACCTAAGAAAACTTCAGTACAAATTCAAAAGTAGTTTACTGACTTGTGTGCCTCCAGCAATTCTAAAACTAAGATTGCAGAGTGCAGCTGGCAAAGATGGTAAATATTTCAAAGTAACACACTGGAATTCGATAAATCCTTGATTTGGCCAATCTTGATTCAAGTATAGGCCTCCAGTTTGTTCTTCTTGAGGAATGTCCATGTACTAGTAAACATTAAACGGATATTAGGCGTCAGCGTATATATTTATAAACATGTTTCAATTAAGGGAAATAAGTCTTATTCATACTTGAAGAGTTCTTTCAATTGAAACCATTTCCTTTTCTGTTTCAGTGAAGCTTGACAAAAAACTCCCCAATAAGGACACAATTGGAGCGGCATATGAGAGGGCCAATCCTACCTGTGAAAGAAAAGTTACATGTTCAATTTTGATATAAATTTGTTGATCAAATCAAAGATTTAATTAAAGGATAGTAAACAAACCAATCCTGGGGTACCAAAGTTGATGGGCAGACTGCCACGAGATCCAACAACAGCCATCACAGCTATGAAAGAGATGATAAATGCACCTAATTGCTGGAAGAAAGTAATTATTAGCAACAACCAATACTCCAGATTTAATACAAATTCAAATTTAAGCTTTGGATGTACTGTATTGTTGCACGTGTAAATCTTATATTGCTGCATTTTCTCATTTTGAAATGTTAATAAATATATTCGACTCAAAAGATATACCTGAAGACGCAAGGAAAGCCACAAACTTGCCACTATCTCTGTGTAGGAAGTCTTCTGATACAAGGTTATATGTTCAGTGAATTTGGTAAAGAAAAAGTCCTGGTAAAAATGATCATTGTATTATAGTTAATTAGTTGCACCATTTCACATTGCTAGTATAAATTTTCCCAGTACATATGACAAGCAACTAATGCATGCAGAAGACCAAAGAAAAATGTATTTAGGTTTAATTCAACCAGCTTACATCGTGGAGTTTACACCACTTATATATTACAATGTAGTCATATCTCTATTCATTATAAAATTTCCAAATGTAAAGGTATCGGTAAAGGCACCATAACCAGTTAAACAAACCAAACAAATAGCAAGCACTTAAGGAAGTTCAGTTGACAGTGCTGGCTATTTCCAAGTAACCTTGAAAATAAATTTGCTTTAAAGAGGTTGTTTAAAAACACTAGTCGATGTCTAGCAATCTTTTCCTCTGACAGTGACAGATCTTGATAGGCGGATAAGTGTGCTGCTTGTTCATCTTTACAATAATATAAATGTCAAACAATTAGTTTCCAGCCACATCTAAATCTTTACTTAACAGCATACATATTTTTTGGCAAGAAATTTCACATGGTAAACGTGGTTTTTTGGAAACACTGAAAACTACAATAGTCTGCAGCAGTAGGGTCACTCCATAAACAAAAATTTCATATCATCATGAATGGACGTGACAAAAAGTAAAAGGTTTTAAACAAATAGCTATTTTCTCGTCCTCAGATCTTATTGATGTGCATGTTATATCTTAAGTACCCTTGTTCAGTAAAGTTCTTCAACATGATACAATGTTCTATTTATGATCATTACTTTAAAATGACTTATATTTACCTCAGATTTAAACGCTCTAATAGTTGATGATCCATCAAGTGTTTCAGTGAATGATGAGTATATTGGAGAGCGGGAAACACTGTCCAGCCGTCGTAATTCTCTTGATGTTGACCTGTAGAAGAACTGAAGCCACTGCATAGATCAGTTGATTGTTGTCTATTATACCAAGTCAAAGAAGTGATTATGGTTTTAAACGTTTGAAACTCAAGAAATACTGAAATAATTTATTTGTAGTTTTATAAAAGCCTTACTTTGTACTCCATAATTATGAGGGTTTCCAAATTCGTACAGTTTAATAACAAATAATCCTAATAGTTGTAGGAACTTACAGTCTAAAACAAGGAGTGTGGTTAAATATGAAAGTGTCAATAAGAAAAAATAATACCTGAAGTCTGCTGTAGATATACCAAAATGGTAATAGCAAGAGTAAGAAGAAGACCTACAGAAAATCGAAAGATAAAAATAGATCATGGGGAATATTAAGACAAATTTTGGTAGTTCCATAATACATATATGACAATAAGAAAACCATTGTACCTGTACATAACACAAAATTATTGTAATACCCAACAAGCCTACGAAATTCGCTAGGAGAATGTTCAGAATGAATGGAAGGGAATCATCAATGGTATAAAGATCTGAAGATAACCTGCACAAAACATAAGAAATCGTGAAACACAAAATTCATAGTATCACTATCTGCTATTCCCTGAACATCTTATTCTAACCTGTTCAGTATTCTCCCACCAGGGGTCTGATCAAAGAATTGGATAGGTGCATTCATAAGCTTGTTGAGCAATTTATTGTGTACCTTAGTTGCAGCTTGTAATCCCCCAAACGCAAAAGAGAATGCCCTCACCAATGTGAAAAAGGAATTAATAATACAAAAGAGACACAGTATAGCCTGCACCATTAATTATTGTCTCAAACAAATTAGAAAATTACATTCAGTAGTAGCTTACAGTGTAGTAGGTAATCAGGTAATTTTTAACGTACTCCAAATGGTTTTAAAATAGTGAACCAAGAAATTCAAATAATGTTTAACACTGAAATTATCTGAATTACTACAAGCTTCATTTAACCACTACATTCTCCATGAGGTTTATAGGGCGAAAGTGGTAAATTCAATTTCTTTCTTTCTTTTCAATAGATTCAAACTTTATTAACTGAAGTTTCTAATAAAAAATTCCTTTGGATTGCTTTGAACTGTTATAATAAAAAAAAATAATTGAAGTATAAGTATTTTGCTGTGCTTCTTGCACTAGGCATATTTAAATGTCCATGAATGTTTCCTGTGACAAAGTATTTAATTTTCCATGAGTCATGTCCAGAAAGAAAAATGTACTATGGAAACTAGCACTGCTGCTCATCCCCTTACCAGATAGAAAGACACAGAATATCTTGTCTGACTGCTTTCTGTTGTTGTATCAACCCAATATGACAGCCATAAATCATTTCCATTACGAGAAGCTTGCATCAGAATAGCTGATAGGCATATAATGACTGTCATGAACCAGCCAATGAAGATAGCATAATTCCTTCAAAAGGCACTAAATTGTTAATCAAATATTGAAGACCACAAAGTCCTATATACAAAACTGACAATCTCCATACATGTCCGATAACAGAGAAGTATATGTTTGTACTTACTTATACACTCCAATTTCAACTTTTCCCTCTTTCCTCAACTCAACTTCAACTATCTCCTCTGCTCCCTCCAGAGCAGGCACAATACTTGTACCAAGAAGAGACTGCTCCTCGGATTTGGAATAAAGATTTGGGCTGCAAGATTGTCCATGATTCTGTAAAGCTGAATCAATTTCATTCAGCGGAGAGAATTGTGTACATGAATTAATTGGAAAGTCATCTGAATTTCCTATCCACTTTATGTGTCCCTTGTCCATTACAACAATCTTGTCAGCAAAAGATATTGCCTTCACATAAATTTAGATGGATCAATAAGTTAATCCTTATAAGTACACCTTTTTATAGAAATACAAAATATCACTGAAAATATCATGTTCTTCTGAACTTAATCAGAATGCTTGACAAAAAACAATGTAGTTATGACAATAAATGGTAGTTTTGAAGAGAGTAATTAACATAGTAAATAATAGTTTTGAAGAGAGTACACAATAACCTGAATATTATGGGTACAGAGCAATCGGGTTTTTCTCTGCATAAGGGGGCCTAGAATGGCATTGTATAAGATACATTGAGCAACTTGTACATCTACTGCACTCAGGACATCATCAAGCATAACAACAGCTGAGTCATGATACAATGCCCTGTTAATTGAGCAGTATTAGAACAGTTTTTTTATAAAATTAATCAGGGCAAAAATCCCTCAAAATATACTAATAGAATAAAAAGAGAATAGGAAGATAGCACCTTGCCAAAGCAAGACGAGCTCTCTGTCCACCCGATAAGTTAACTCCTTTCTCACCAATATAAGCCATGTCACCTCCAATCATCAATGAGACATCAACATCTAATGCACATGCCTTCAGTGTATCAGTATACCTGTTAAGAGCGTTATTTTGGTTCAAAACATATTTGTAAAGCTCAAGGTCATGTTAAGCAGAAGAAAAAGGTCTAGGTTTCAATAAGATTAAAATTATGGGGTATAAAAATCTCCTAAAGTTGAAGGCATTATACCTTTCAGGATCATAGCTTTTCCCAAATAATATGTTGTCGCGCACCGTTCCAGATAAAATCCAAGGGACCTGCTGTGTGAAACTTTGAGGAAACAAAGACACAAGACATTTCTCTCAAGGCTAAGCATATCAATTATGATATACAAACCTGTGGTACATAAGCTATGGATTCATTGGAATAAATAGAGCCATGAACAAGCTGCATTTCTCCAAGGATTGAATATAACAGGGATGATTTACCTGAACCAACCTGAATACACACAATTGGCGAAGTAATTATAGATATAACTAAGTCGTTCTTCAGATATTAGAGGTTCATTTATCAATTTCATTTGTAAATATCAAAACGCTGGTGATGTCAACAAATATAGAGGACTGAGTGAATGAAGTCATGACATACAATATATATTTTGAACTAATGATTTCAAGTATCCATTTTTCATAAGTTGTCATGCCAAAATTTGATGGGTGAGCATATGCAACAAAATTATTTTACTTTATTTGCTAAAGACATCTTGATTAAATTCAAACAAGGATCTGACCTCTCCAATAACTGCAACAAAGGAACCCTGGGCCACACTTAGAGTCACACGATTCAACACCATATTTAATGCTTGTTCCTCACTACTTGACCAAGTACAACATGCATCTTGGATAAATACACCCAAACCTTGTACAGAATTAGGCTGTTCACTTAGGAATGATGGTGGACAGGAACTTTTGTTTCCCACTTTAAATTTATCTTCAGGACAAGCGAGAAACCTACTCAACCGTCTGGAAGATATGATGGCCTGCAGTGACATTAATAGAAACTATTCATCCCAATGCATGTACAAATCAAATCTGTTCATAAAAACTATGGAATATGGGAGACTCACATCAATCAATCCATTTATTACCCAAGGGAATGAATTTAGTGGTGAAATAAGGGTGTTGAACAATGCAAGACACGTGAAAACCTACAATAAAGGTTTTTTACTGCATTAGATTTCTTAACATTGACAGGAAATAATTAAGTGCAAAATAAAGAAGAAAAACTAGTCAGTAAGATTAGGTGAAATAAATTTGAGAATACCATTGCAGCATCAAGTTGATGTCCCATCAGTGCATAGAGTCCAAAAGTGAAAAGAGAGAAGAGAGTCGGTGTTGTAGCCCAAAAGAAAACACACCACGCATCCAAGTACTTTCGTGTCTATAAAAGTGGATGAAACATGATGATAAACATTAGAAAAGAAAGAAAGCAGACAATTTTCTTTTGCCATTCTTTAATACTACTTGAGTGGATTTCTGGAAAAAATTTACAGTTTTATCCGGAAATAAATAAAATCAGAACATAAATTCTTACAGCTAAGTGTTTGACTTCCAAAGATCTTGTATCCATCAACCAACTAGAAAAAAGAAGTTCCCATCCGTACATCTTCAAAGTGCGAATATAAGTCAAAAGTTCTCCTGTCTTACGAATCCTGTAAGAAAACCATAAATTTTAATATTGCAAATATGCACCAATAGATTTGAATCATATCAATCCACCATTGCCCCAAAGAAAAAAGTAAAATGAGAAACTTAGGCAAAGAATAATAAGCTGTTAATCTTAAGTGGCAAAAGATGAGAACGGGGAATTCTCAAGATAACCAATAGCTAGAGAAAATGCATCATAATCTTAAGAGTAAAAGTTGCTTCCCAGCCAAGCAACAGTTTACTCTCTAGAAACTCCAATCACTCACTAATAACTAAAAAACTTATACAAACTCCAAAGCAAATGAAATGAATGCACAAATGTTAATATTTATCATAGCAGCTTATGTGCTTCAAATTATATCATTACATGTCCATGAGAGACATGTCACTGTAACTTAAATTGCTTTTTTAACATTGTGTCACAACTTCAAGAGTTAAACAATTTTTAAGCAACATGCAATGCGCTGTGTGTGCCCTCTGTAAACTTTGATGGAAAAATTATATTGACACATGTAATACAATTGGAAAAGCAACACAAATTGTAATAACACAACTTGCAATATTTGAGGAGGGAACTGACCAAATGAATTAAATGAAATATGAAAGTCAACGTTAATCAATTTACTTCTGGTTACCTTTCATCTTTCTCCTTCATCATCTGCTCAGTAGCACTTGCAATCAATTGTGCTATCCATTTATTCACTGAAGAATAAAATTGAGTAATAAACCAAAACATTAATTTTTGAAATAGATTAATGAACTTTAAGGTCAAGTGAACTTTTCTTAAAAATTGTCCAAAATAAAAAGCATTTGACTTCTAGCGTCCCCAGCAGGCTTTTGTTTTGAATTCTTAGGATGAGAAAACTATTTCTTAAAGAAATCCCCAATTGGAGATGATCTACGTAGCATAACCAATTCCTTCACCATAAAATTTGTTTCTTATAAAAGAAACGGTTTATTTAAATTAAAAAACAACATTTTTATACTTTAAGAAACTCGTATTAGAGATGCCCTAACATACATGTTAAATCAAAACAGATAGCATACAAACATCCCTGAAAGTACAACTTAAATTAAATGTTAATGATACAGTATAAAATAAAAACTTCTCTCTAAATTAAGTTATTGATAATATTTAAGAAAAAATTACTGTTTGGATTTAAGAAACAATTTTATTTATAGATACAGTTTTAACTTCTATGCAAATTCATTCCAACTGATATTTGCCTTGATGAACTCAAGCAGGTGAAAAAGGATCAAACGCAGGTTGTAAGATAACAAGTGCGGCTTATTGTCACCAGAAAAAAATTAAGTGATATTTCTACCTGGTATCAATAAAATGGTTATTGCTAATCCAGATACAAATGCAAATTTGACTTGAGTATACAAAAGATAGAGAGCCACTCCAATTTGTAGAGGCAGGCTGAAACAAAAAAAAAAACAAAAACTTAGTCTTTAAGATCTATACAATCTACATAGTTAATAACGGTAATGACTTTAAATCAAATGTAAGCTACAGAAGATGTTTTCCAGTTAGCATAAAATCTATTAAATCTATCTGATGTAAAACCCAATATTATCAGATACAGCTAAACCTCAGCAGGTTCAATGAAACAAAAAAGTAGCTTATACACATATCATATCTTTAACCACTAGAACAAATCATTCAAGGCAACTTTATTGCCTTTATTGAATACCTGTGAATTTCAGTCCTAGTAAGACAAATTAAGGATCTTTTACAATTGATAAGCATGTTGTTGTACAGATATTTAAGGGAAAAGGAAAAAAAAAATTGGTAAAACCTATTGGCATTAAGAAGTTCAAATTAAAAAGGGAATACCTCCACATATCATGGAAACTATTACATAAGTTGACAGTTCGGTCAGCATCCACTGACATAAATGTCTGAATTTCTCCATTTGTAAATTTTGAACGCTCTGCTAAGTTCACTCGAAGACACTTCAAACACATAAAACAATGTCTATATTTTAGTACCAAAGCATAATCATGAGTCGCTGTCAAAAGCCATGCATGCATCAGCAACAACAGTAGGGGAGTATATAAAAAGAGCATGTGCATTTTATTATTACAGAAATCTATAATTTCAGCATTCACAGACAGTTCGGTCAGCAACCACTGACAAAAATATCTGAATCTCTCCATTTCTAAATTTTAAACAGCTATGTTCACACATAGGTACTTCAAACACATGAAACAATGTATGTTTTAGTACCAAAGCATAATCATGAGTCACTATCAAAAGCCATGCATGTATCAGTAACAACAACAGGGGAGTATATAAATAGAGTATGAGCAATTTATTATTATGAAAAAAACTATAACTTCAGCATTCAAAAACAAATAAAATAAAAGAACTGCGTACCTTCTCATAGATTAGAGTCATGATACTAGATCGCAGCTTCAGCTTCAGTTTGGAAAGATGAAAACTATATTGTGTATCTAAAAAGGATCTAGACCAGAAGGACACTTCTTACTAATTGTTACTGGTAAATAAAACCAAAAAACATCAAAGTTATGTTAACCCATACAACAAAATATACGTTGCCCAGAGTCTAAAGGAACGTAAAAATATTGCCTGATACAAATAAAATGAAATAACGACATGTTTAAAGGTTCACTAAGAGAAACCGTTCTCTTTGCCGTTCTGCACATAGATGCTTTAAGGGGGTTAAAATTTCTGATTTTCAAAGGGATGGGATATTGTTTCAATTTTAGAAACATTAACTTATTGTTTCTTTTTTTATGTTTGAAGGTTAACTTTTCCCCTCACAAGTTGCATCTTGCCTACAGTACCCTAGAAACCTTAAGTTGTTTATCTTGAACACATTGATACAATGCCGTTTTCTGTTGAAAAAGAAGATAATGATTTTCTTATTGGGTTCTCAATTCTCAATTTGTGAATTTAATGCTATTTACACAATTGAATAGTCATTTTATCTAATAAAGAATGACTGAATAATGGTGAGGAGTTATTCTATACAGTTTCTTTTCATGCATTTATTTATTTCGGGATTTGAGTTTAAGACTCTCAACCCCACAAAATCATTGTGTAAGGTGAGGATTGCCCAAGCTTTGTACGTTATATTTAAGTCATAACTTTAGTCAGTATGGACTAAACACCACGTTGAGGCTACAAATAAGAAAACATCCAAAGGGACAGACCAAAAGTCTAATGCAGGTTAGGGATGACTTTCTAACAATAACGCACAAGAGAAGAAAAATGGCTCAAATAGAGCGTATACAGTTTGGACAATCATCACCTGAACCTTAAACTTATTATGCAGGTAAAACATATAAGTGAAATATAATATAATGAACTATATAACAAGAGCTAAACTTACTTAATTATAGAGGTGAGCCCCAAGGATAATGCAAGTAAATACCCATCCCAATTCACTGAACCTGGACGAAATAACAAAAATGGAACCAAATTTTTCTTAAGTTTTCTTGTTCCAATTGTTTGATATGCAAATAGAAGGAAATTATTTAAGAAAAAAATTAGGAATGGCATTACCATCACCATAACCATGTTCATGTTAATATATTTGACAGGCAGATTTTTGCAATGTATCAAGGAATGCAAAATAAAAGTATCGTGTCTAAAGGGAATAAAGTAACGAAGAAGTTCGTCAAATAAGAGAATAAATAAAACATTCAGTACAAGTCAAAACTTTAATGATCACAGTGGAGAAACTTAAACTATAACTGGTTGTAACACCTTGTTGAAGAAACTGGATCAGCTTATTGAGAAGCAATGGCCCCACAAAACCAATACAATCATTAATCACCTGGAAGAATTTCATACACTTAGTAGATGCGTAAATAAATTGAGACAAGATAAAATAAAGTAAAATCAGATTAAATTTTGGTTTATTTATGGCCAAAAGAATTGATATTTTAATATTGACATGGATATACTTCATAAAAGACATCCAAATACAAAAACAAGGACATGATAAGGACTCATTATCATATGGAAACATCTTGTGTTCCTTGTAACTAATAAGTATATGTGTCAATTGTCATGGTGTTGATATCACTAAAATTATGTTTAAAACATGTCAAGGTATCAATACCTTGGGCCATGGGATGCTATATACATCAAAAATTCTCTACTTACTTAGAAATTGAAAAGGATCATATTGTTCTAATAAAGATGTCAAGGTACAAGTAAAACATGTTATGTCATGCAAGATATCATACTATCAATATATTTTCTAGTGGCACAACCGAAATTTCTAGGTACATAAACAATCAGTTATCTATCACATTAGTTGGGAAACTACCACTATTTGATTGATAGCCCTTGAACCATTGTTTGTTACAGAAAACAATGCATAGTTCAAAACAAAAAGCATCTTCTGTACACATAAACTTACTGAGTTACTGGACAGGCATTAAATTTCCTTTCATTTCAAGATAAAAAGGCTAGAACTTGCATCTCCACAGAAAAAGTTAGAATCCCATGTTGGAATTGAAAATTTGAAAGTGTTGAAGAAGGTATTACTTGGACGAATTATATTCCAGCAGTCCATCACAGTCATATGGTATAAATATTGCGTATAAAGACTAAAGTGTGACGCACAAGCTTTTGTTTACATCAACTTAGATTTATCCAGTGTGTGGGAGGAAAACACGATTTCATATTGAAAAATACCTTCAATAAACCCAGGCGGAGGTATGGCCATCCATATGCACTACAGAGTGCTCTAAACAAAGATGGAGTAGAGCCATTGTTACTCAGTTGAGCTTGCCAGCAGGACAAAATCACATCATGACAAGAAGAAGGACTCATATCAGTCGGTAGTGGCAATAGGTCATCGGAGTCTAATTGTTTTACCACACCATGATTCATTACTGGAGTTATGAAGTTGAAAGTCATCAAATCCCAAAAGTTTCCATCATTTTCCTGCATAGGAAGAATATTAAAAAAAAAAGTAAAAGTAAAATCATATCAGTCCTGCAAATTGGAAATAAAAATAACTGAATAAAACATGAAAAGAGTATATTTTCTTTAAAAAATAAACCAAACATATAATTATCTCCAAAAGAATAATGAAATTTTCATAATTATCAAAAGCCCCATACTAATAAAAAAAATTGTACATTTCCCCTTTAACTTTTCCACCAACCAACTATTTAAAAAGCACACAAGAACTAAATTGTATTTAAGTTCAAGTTATACTCTACACTTCATCCCATACAAAATGGAGACTAATTATTTTGAGAGTAAGCAAATGAGTCTATGAAGAGAATTATGTTTGATGACTAATCAGACTTACAAGGTCTTGATAACCACCTTCCTCAAGGTCCACACCATTCGAAAGAAGTGGATCCTCCAAAAAACTAAAATTGTGACAGCAAATTCATTCAGAATTAAAATGTGCTCTAGAAACAAAAATGTAATTTTCATATATATATATATATATATACGAAATCACATATACTATAAAATGAATACACTATGCTTGCTACTACAATCAAAATAACTCATTTTAAATTGCATTAAATGCTTCCTATACAGCATATAACCAAGGCTATTTACGAATCTAGCAAGGCAAACAGTTTAAAGGTCAAGTAAATGGTTTAAACTAATGTGTTCAAAAGAGAGAAAGATTATCAATTTTAATAGCTTCTTTTAAAATTTTATCTAATGCTTATCACTAATTTTATCGATAAAAGAAAGTGACCGTGTAAGAAACACATGCCAGTATATACCTGTTTTTGTAAGATGGTCTCTTTATCCTTATCACATTGATGGCTATGCCAAATGAGATATTCATGAGAACAACTAAGCTTTCCGTGATGCAAATTGAAACCTACTATTAAAAGTGCGTCAATCTTTCACATGTAACTTACTGATTCACAACTTATTTGAAAACAAATAAAATTATTAGTAATGAAGGTAAACTTGTCATGCCCAATTAAGAAAAATCTAAGCCAGGATATAATAGCACCTTAAATGATGAAATATTTGTCATCAAATACAAAACTGCCAATATTGCTTTAGGAATCCACCAGAAACATAACACACGATTGAAGACAATGTGGTGACTGCCGCCACGCTTTGTGAAGAAAATAATGTTTATCTGCATATAAATACAAGTGAATAATTACATTACAAACAATCAAATGCCATAAACCCTACATAAAACTGTAGCTGAGATCTAAAAATCAGGAAGCTTACCCAAACCATCAATTCAGAACAGCTATAGAACCATTTATGATATCCAACAATGTGACTACTATGCTCTTTCTTCCACAGAAAAAATATGTCTACAATTGAAAGACATGCTCCAACAGCTGGTATAAAATCCAGGACTATTTTTTCTGGAAAGGTCATCTGTTTATTCAATGTAAACCATCAAATATGAATATCATTTATCTCAGGTACATACTACTGTAGATTACCGAAACTATATGTGGAGATAATGATAGCTTTTCTAGGTGAACCAGAAGATTTTAATTCCACAAAGTTTGACAATATTGGACAATCACTTGCTGTAGAGAACACCTTACAGAGAAACACTACAAGATAAGAAGGTTCGCAAGTAAGTGTTGTGCAAACAGAATACAGATACTAGTTTATAGATTTTTTACATCATACCAGAATTTCCTTCAGGATGAAGATAATAGGGTCTATTGGGGTTTTGTGTCACGTCCACGCTACTGTTGGTAGCAGTGGCCATATTTATATGCAAGAAAGAATAAGGTCAAGAACAAACAAGAAAAAGACGGAAGAAGATCAAGAACAAACAAGAAGACGGAGGGTAAAATCAGTGGCAGCAGAGTGTGAATTAACTCCGGATCTGATACCGTAATGGAAATCTTGATTCAAATAAAAAGAGGATAAAACTTGTATTCAGAATGTGTAAGCATGAGATGAAAACACCTCAAAAGGAACCGCATGTATATCAACACATGTCCATAAAAGCCAAGAGGAGTTTAGGATTAAGAAACTGTTTTCTTATTTTTCTCTTGATGTGAATGAAGATGAGCCTATATATAGGCTTTTACAGAATAAACGAAAAATAACAGAAAGGAAAACGGAAAATGGGTTTCTTAACATCCCTTAACAAAAACTTCTAAGATCAGTGAGTACCTGGCCATCTGACCTTCGATCAATCTTCTGACTAAATCCAAGCACAACGACCATAACAACAGTCACTATGTTAACTCCAAAACCTAAAACAGTACGAAATATTAAGGAAAATCAATTCATATGTATTTGTGTGTATAGTGAGTGAGCTGAAACTAAAATCTGAAAAAGAATGAGGATATATGTCTTCAAAGCATTCAGAGAACCTCTCTCCATCCCAAATCTGTAAACCAGGAAAAAAGGTACAAGTCAGGATGAGATTCCAATGAATTTTCATGATCTTTAATGTACAGACATTAAGGCACACTATGATATTCCTTTAATTTTTAGTCATTTCTCAATATCTCAGAAAGAATGTTAATCACTAAGATGCAGTATCACAGTGTAGTTAATTTTGAAGTCAAAAGATATCAAAAAAGAACTGAAGAAAGCTGAAGCAAAAAGAAACTGATATTATTACTTCTGTTTTCAAAAGAAAGAAAAACCAAGAAACTATACTGCTAACTGTCAAAACAGAGAAATAAACGCCCCTAAGCTGATAAAAGAAGAAATATTCATATGATTGTAATCTCAAAACTCCAAAAATGTTTCATACCCATCAAGCAAGCCCCATAGCAAGAATTTAGTAGCAAACAAGATAAATGGCGACTAAGATCTTCATGCAATAAAGAATTACAGTTTCTTTGGACGGAGTCGAAAATGAACACAGGTAGAAAAATACAATAGTAAAACGATAGAATTTAAAGAAAAAATGTCAAGAAAAATGGTGGTAGATAAAAACACAAAAATGTATGACAGCGGGTGACAAATGTTGGTTGCTTGTAGAAAATAAAGAAAAGAACATTGGAAAGAGGAAGAGATGCTTACAAATGGAGAATTAGGGCAAATTAGATGCAGGAAATCGTCCATGGAATAGACGAAGAGGAGAGACAGAAGGACTGAGTGACGCATATGGCGGTCTATGTCGTGGTTGCTTTATATTGTGTTCATGCATAAAAAAAGGCGCGGCTGGTTCGAGGATTTTTTTTTTTCGTGGGCAAATTTGTCTTTTCACTGATAAATGTAAAAGATATTACAAATTTATTTATCTATGTAAACTTTAATTTTAATATTAACTTAGGGGGTTTTCACTGTGCACTTATACACCATGTAAAAATAGTAGTATTTAAAAAAATATATATTTATTATATCATAAAAATACAAGATTATTTTTTACTCAACTTTTAATTAATATTTTACCTTAATGTATGATAAATAATATTTATAAAAAACATTTCCAATTTTTCTAACGAAGTTTTCTACGGTTGTATATAATAATTTCATTGCTAAAATATCCAAACGTCTTCTGTAATCAAAATTATATAGACGTCATTCTAACTATTAATTAACTTGTAATTACTTACTTTTTATTGAATTTTGAATTTAAACTTAGCTTAATTATAATAAGATTTTATTTGGATTATTATTCATAAATGCATGATGAAGTAGTTATTAGGAAGTGAGTTTAAAATCAGATTGATTGAAAGAAAAGATTTACATCTTATTTTGTATATTATAAATTGATTTTATCTTTAGTTATCGTGGAATTATTAACCATAATAAAAATCTTATAAAATAAAATAAAAGAAAATTCAGAAAATCAAAAATTAACTCTCATGCATGTCACAAAACACTAAATAGCACGTTGGGGACTACGAAAAAGAAAAATGCAGAAAATTATTTAATCAAACTAAAAGTTCTATAATCTGTTTATAAATATAATTTACAATAACAATATATTGGTGTAAACCAAAATTTAATATATATTATTTATTTAATTTTAATATATTTTGTCTCTTTAAAAATTTTATAGATTTATTTTGACACTTCTAAATTTTGTTAAGTCTTGCCACTTATGAAATCCATTTATTGGGTTAGATAATTTACATGACTGATAACTTTACTTATATTTTTAATATTCAAAAATATATATTTTTATCAATCCTAAACTTTCACAAATATGTTTAAGACACTCAAAAAATGTAGGTATTTTCGAAGTATATTTGTTCGTTGATTTTATTTTTATTTTCTCCGTTAATACTCATTTCTATCCATTTCTACATTAAACTGATTTCATTATTTTATATTATTTCAGACTGCTTATAGATTAAACCAAACAAAGTACACTCTTTTCTTTTTTTTCAATATCTTTTAAATTTGGGTTAAATATGTTTTTAGTCCCTAAACTATTGTTCGTTTCTGGTTTTCGTCTCTCTTTCAAAATAAAGTACAATTTGGTCCTCATTCTTTTCACAATTTTGGTTTTAGTTCTCGAAAATTAACACTGTTAAAAATGTGGTAGTTTTCGAGATTAATTTTCGAGAACTAAAACTAAAATTTTGAAAAGAATGAGAATCAAATTGTACCTTATTTTAAGAGAGGGACGAAAATCAGAAACGACCAATAGTTTAAGGACTAAAAACATGTTTAACCCTATGGGAGAAAAAGTAATAAAGTTTTGTAAGTTAATGGGAGAGGACCATTTAATAAAAAAAGCAGTGTTTCACACATTGGAACTTTGTGCACAAATGATAAAGATGGTCACCAAGATCCAATGTGGAGGACACAAAGGAAAAGGTACATTAGAAAATGGGATAAAAAGACCGATTAAAGTTTCAGGAATCTCTGCACTATTAAAATATGAGCTTAATCATGTGCTATACATGTCACACTTCCACTGCACTTAGTAAATATGAAATATTTATTTGTATTATATACTATAATATTATACTTCTATAAGAACTCCAGAGTCTTATATTTTCAGAAATTCACTTATATATTATTGTTATTAATTTTAAGTGAAAATTAAAATTAGTTTTGATAGATGACAATATTTTGAAGAATATGTTGATTTCACACTAATTTAAAGTTATTTAAACAAAAATAAGTTATTTTCATAAAAGATTTAAAAATTTTGAAAATGTATAATAAAAAATTTATTACAAATTATAATTTTTTATAATTTATATATTTTTATTTCAGTTTTAGGTTGTTTATTTTTATTTTTTCTCTTAAGTTTAATTTTAATTAGGATATTACTGTTTTTAATTTTAATTGAGATATTGTTGATTTACTTTAAATTAAAGTGTTGTTAATTCGACATCTTCTGTTATTAACGCTGGAGAAAAATTATTTTCATCAAGTTTTTTTTATATTGGTCAATGTTGTTTCTCAAAAAACTTTATTTAAAATATAATTTAAATGATATTTTTTTTTTTAAATTTCAAGTAAGATCTCCTTATCAATGTCAACTTGAATTATTTTAAATTAAAGTTATTTTCCACTCACATCACTGAGATTATGAATTGAGCTGTTTTTTAACTAGTATCAATAAGAATTTTCTCTACCAAACATTTGTGTCAATACTTTATATATGTCATGTTTATTATTTCTTACTACTTCTTAAATAGTGTGGTAACATATATTTAATTGTTTCCTTATGAAATGATAGATAAAATTCCTTAAAATGTGTAAGATAATTTATCTCTCACAAATACATAATGGTAAATTGTTCTTTGTATTTGATTTTCTATATTAACCTTTAAATTCTCTCTGTCTTGTTTGTGTGGCTTATATTTAATGATAACAGAAAAAATGAAATAAAATTGTGCTTAGTAAAATGATAAAATCACATCATCAACTTGTAGGACAAAGATACATTAACACAAATTTTTTTATAACATTTTGACATAGTATACGTATTTTTTTTAGAATTAAATATGTTTTTAGTTTATAAATTATTGTATAAAATTGAATTTCATTTTTATCATAAAATTTGATAGTGTGATCTCCAAGTTTTAAACATAAATAAATATAGTTTTATTAATTCAACAATGTTAATTTTTTTTAGTGATTAAATAACGTTTTATATTGATATGTAAACTATTTACATAGACATATTTAAATTTAATTGCAAACCTAAAATATTATTTTTTAACTAATATATAATGATGTTGGATTGAGAGGTCAAATTATTTTTAAAACTTGGACACTAAAATATATAAAAATTAAAAATATAGATGAATTATAATTTTGCATATAAATTTATAAATTATAAATATATTTGTATTTACATAAAGATTATAGTGAAGTTGTAACATCCCAGATTATATAGAAGCATATAACATATAGTAAGTTCACATTTAAATAAAAGAGAACAGTTAAAGTAAACTATAAATAAAGTTTGTTAAGCGTATCATCCGATAAGGAGTCAGAATTTAAACATACTAGAGTATTTCAAAAGATAAGGAATGACTGATAGAATCCTAAGAGACTAAGCAACAGTATCATCTTCCTCCAAAGCCTGCTCCAGAGGCACCTCATTCATCTCTGCTCACATCCAAGTGGATGATTATTGCAAAAGAAAGCGTACCCAAACAAACCCAAACACACAAGCAAGGGTGAGTTAGATATAAAAATCATGTTATAACAATCATAGGCAACATGCAAGTAAAGACGAATATACTATACTACACAAACATGACTTGTTGCACTTAAACTTGACTCGTCCGAACTTAGAATGATTGTCGAGCTATGGACGGTTATGCACTCGTGGTGGCTTCTACTGCTTTGCAAAGTCATTGCCAATGGGTTTCACCCTACCACACTCACGAGGTTAGTCCGTTATCACTCACCTTGGGCCATACTGGAAGCACCCAAGACTAGGACTTCCTGTTACTCCTCACCACATGGATCAATCATCTCTACTTGAGAATGAAAGACCATTGGAGCGTCAGGAAAACCCCCAAGACTGAGCTACCATGCAAATCATTCTAAACACACTGAAAGGGCATCACCATGTATCCCCCTTAAGGATCATGGAATTACGTCCAATACTAATACTTTCCACTTTAACACCAACATGTTAAATAGCATACTGGAATAAATAGGAATATAGGTCGAACAGAAAACATCAACACATAATGTGCAAGATCGAACACCCTGTGAATGGTGGAGACCGAACGGTATCTCACTTCCCAAATGACAGGACCGAACGGTCCATAAATGGTAAGACTGAAGAAGTGACCGAACATTATTCAAGACCGCTCACTAAGAAAGACCGAACACTACTTAAGAGACCGAACTCTCCTTAAGAGACTGAACGCTACCTGAGAGACCATCCACTAAGACCGAACGCTACCAAGACCACCCACTAAGATCGTACGCTACTTAAGAGACCGAACTTTCTTTAAGAGATTGAATGCTACCTGAGAGACCATCCACTAAGACCGAACGCTACCAAGACCACCCACTAAGACCGTACGCTACTTAAGAAACCATCCACTAAGACCGAACGCTAACAAGACCGAGCACTAAGGCCAAACTCTGCTTAAGACCGAGCACTAAGACCGAACGCTATTATGACCGAACGCTCAATAACGCATGGCCGAACGGTTATCAGTTGCGAAACTGCATAATTCTGCAAAATTACGAACAACACCTAACATAATCATTCCTAACCATTTTTACTAACTTCTAACACCCTTAATTTTTGCTTTATACTTAATTAAACTCATCTAAATGATTATGAACATTCCTACTACCATTTTAAAGTGATTAAGACTCAATTTCAACTCTAAAACACCAATTTTCCCAACTTAGGGATTCAAAACCCAGTCCTACTGCTTTGCACCTATTTTGATCAATTTAGTGACTCAAACAAGTCACAACCCACTTGCTAAGACTGCCCCCAACAACCCAGTTGCGCTTTAGACCTCAAATGCCCAAAATCACTACCTCACTTCCTCTCAGAGTGACCTAAAACACCATAATTTTACTCACTTTAGAGCTTAAACAAGCAAATCAAACAGCACACCCATTAAGGAATTTAACATACTTATAAATACTGCAAGCAAATTGAAAACAATATCTAACTCCCCTTACCTTGAAACTTCTTTGCT